TAATGTTTATACTACAGCGTATTATTTTATCTAAATAAGAAATGATTGATAACATAGGCTACGAATACCTCTTTTAGAGAGATGAAATGGTTACGAATAACGTAACTGATTTATGTAATTTGCTTAGCATAAAAACTAAGTTTTTAAATAAATCATTAAAAACCGGTGTAGAATGTAAGATTACCATAGATTTATCAGGATTATATTGCCAAGCAAGACAGGAATTAATGAATTATGAACTATGGAAATGGATAGCAGGTAAAGCTAATCATGACGATTTTAAAGTATACAAAATAAAACAAGAGTTAACGCTATAGTCGGGTGCCGCGACTATAAGCCAGCCGATATTGATAAAGCGACAGCTTTTGTCAGAAAAAAGTATGTTTAACAAGAGTTAACGCTGTAGTCGAGTGCCGCGAATATAAGACACCCGTTACTGCTTTATACAATTTTAAAATATTCATTTTGCTAGTGGAAATTCACAAAGCGCCACCTATTGTCAGAGTAAGCATGTTGAGTAACTGATAGTGACGTCACAAGCCAAGTGAGGCCTTATAGCCATAATATTTTCATAAATAGCGCAATAATGTTGCAATTTGAAAAAGCTTTGGTAAATCGATAGATATTGACAGAAAAAAAGTCATACAAGGTCAAACGAAGGCATTTATATTAATATTATGGACGCCACAGTTATTCGCGGCCGTTAGAGTGGGTGTGGCCGGATGAAAACTCGTGAAAAGTTGCAGTGGCATCTCTAAAATACGTGTTCTTAGGCCTTACTTTCTAGCTTTTATAGGTCCGGAGATTTTTGTTCCGGTTTGTGGGCGTAAGAATGGGCGTGCCGGATGCAACTTCGTGGAAAGTTGCAGAAGCATCTCTTAAATACGTATTCTTAAGCAAAATTTTGTAGCTCTTATAGTTCCCGAGATTTTTTTTGTTTTTTTTGGGTTTCGTGGGCGTTAGGGTGGGCGTTAGGGTGGGCGTTAGGGTGGGCGTCGCTAGATGGGAAAAACAATGCATTTGGGGCATCATAAAAACCCACATGGTTAATCCGAACTTTCTATCTCTCATAGTTACCGAGATATCAGCATTTTTAGAAAATGCGAAAACCGTCTTTTAAGCCTTTTGGGCGTAAGGGTGGGTGTGGCCGGATTAGTACCACTATAAGATGCGCTGGCATCTAAAGATTATACATACTGAAGCTTTCTAGCTATAATAGTTCCTGAGATTTTAGCTATTTTAGTTTTTCGCGATTTGTGGGCGTTAGAATGGGCATGGCGGGATGCAGGGTCGAAAAATCTTCCTTCTACCTGTTGAATACTTTTCAACGAATCTAATATACCCTTTTACTTTACTAGTAACGGGTATAAAAACAGAAGGTGTCGTCACTGCCCAAGCGGGGCCTTATAATCTACACATTGAGCTGCGATGACATCTCTTGAATATGTATGCTACGGAAAAAATAATACGCCTTGTTGACAACATCATCAATCTGCGCTATATGTACATTCTATGTCGCAATTTTAGTTTTTCGTTTTTCTACAATTTCAATATACCCTTTTACTCTACGATTAACAACGGGTATAAATATCATGTAGAACCAGTTTCTATGAAAATAATCATCGGGTACGAAAATTTCTTAAAACTAGATATAACAAAAAGTGGTTAAGGAAAACATACCATAGTCAAAAATAGAAATACGAGTATATAAACAATTTTATAATTATAAATATAACTTTCATTCATTTTTGCAGAGTAATGTTTATACTACAGCGTATTATTTTATCTAAATAAGAAATGATTGATAACATAGGCTACGAATACCTCTTTTAGAGAGATGAAATGGTTACGAATAACGTAACTGATTTATGTAATTTGCTTAGCATAAAAACTAAGTTTTTAAATAAATCATTAAAAACCGGTGTAGAATGTAAGATTACCATAGATTTATCAGGATTATATTGCCAAGCAAGACAGGAATTAATGAATTATGAACTATGGAAATGGATAGCAGGTAAAGCTAATCATGACGATTTTAAAGTATACAAAATAAAACAAGAGTTAACGCTATAGTCGGGTGCCGCGACTATAAGCCAGCCGATATTGATAAAGCGACAGCTTTTGTCAGAAAAAAGTATGTTTAACAAGAGTTAACGCTGTAGTCGAGTGCCGCGAATATAAGACACCCGTTACTGCTTTATACAATTTTAAAATATTCATTTTGCTAGTGGAAATTCACAAAGCGCCACCTATTGTCAGAGTAAGCATGTTGAGTAACTGATAGTGACGTCACAAGCCAAGTGAGGCCTTATAGCCATAATATTTTCATAAATAGCGCAATAATGTTGCAATTTGAAAAAGCTTTGGTAAATCGATAGATATTGACAGAAAAAAGTCATACAAGGTCAAACGAAGGCATTTATATTAATATTATGGACGCCACAGTTATTCGCGGCCGTTAGAGTGGGTGTGGCCGGATGAAAACTCGTGAAAAGTTGCAGTGGCATCTCTAAAATACGTGTTCTTAGGCCTTACTTTCTAGCTTTTATAGGTCCGGAGATTTTTGTTCCGGTTTGTGGGCGTAAGAATGGGCGTGCCGGATGCAACTTCGTGGAAAGTTGCAGAAGCATCTCTTAAATACGTATTCTTAAGCAAAATTTTGTAGCTCTTATAGTTCCCGAGATTTTTTTTTTTTTTTGGGTTTCGTGGGCGTTAGGGTGGGCGTTAGGGTGGGCGTTAGGGTGGGCGTCGCTAGATGGGAAAAACAATGCATTTGGGGCATCATAAAAACCCACATGGTTAATCCGAACTTTCTATCTCTCATAGTTACCGAGATATCAGCATTTTTAGAAAATGCGAAAAACCGTCTTTTAAGCCTTTTGGGCGTAAGGGTGGGTGTGGCCGGATTAGTACCACTATAAGATGCGCTGGCATCTAAAGATTATACATACTGAAGCTTTCTAGCTATAATAGTTCCTGAGATTTTAGCTATTTTAGTTTTTCGCGATTTGTGGGCGTTAGAATGGGCATGGCGGGATGCAGGGTCGAAAAATCTTCCTTCTACCTGTTGAATACTTTTCAACGAATCTAATATACCCTTTTACTTTACTAGTAACGGGTATAAAAACAGAAGGTGTCGTCACTGCCCAAGCGGGGCCTTATAATCTACACATTGAGCTGCGATGACATCTCTTGAATATGTATGCTACGGAAAAAATAATACGCCTTGTTGACAACATCATCAATCTGCGCTATATGTACATTCTATGTCGCAATTTTAGTTTTTCGTGATTTCGTTAGAGTGGGCGCAGCAGGATCCTGGAATATTCTTGCGCTGCGTGCTTAATCCTTACTTTGTATTTCTTTGGGGCAGGTTCTCACCTTGTGAAAAAATCATTTTTCTTTTTTTGACTTTTCGTGAAAATGTTTCAAAAATGTGCTCAACAAATTGTATATAAAAATTACAACATTTACAGGCTATGCCTTATTGGCAATGGATGCCTCTTTTGGAAATTTATGTCAATGTTATGTTGAACAGTCGATCTATTTACATAAATCGTTGCTTTTCAAAGCGGAACAATATTTCGTAATTTGTTGAAAATGTTGGCTATGAGACTTTACAAGGCCTTGACGTCACCATCAGTTATTAAACATGCCTTTTTTGACAAAGGTGAACCTGGTAAAATTATTCACACCATCAATTTCCGCTGGCAAAATAAATATTTCAAAACTGAATATCGGTTCTTCTTTCTCTTTTAAAATTGAATTCTAAATAGTGCGATAATATTATGGACGCGTTCAATTGGGCTGACGAACAGGCAGATGGACGGACGGACAGCCAGACATGGCTCAATTGACTTTTTATTCGAAAGATAATCTTGGGGAATTAATTTAATTAAGATTTCTGGCATATGACCGTTACGAATGAGGTCACAGATTCAGTTCCTGTGCTCGATGGTGGATGTACTCATTCGGGTCTTTCCCAATGTTAGTAGCAATAGCTTCTTCTGCGCGCACCGTACGGCGTCTCTGGGGATGCAAGTTTTCAATTAGAGTAAACGTTGTGCGAAAACGTTCCGTGGTAAATCGAACTAATTGCTCTAATGGCCGATTTTGTCGACGATAAAATGGACGTAGTGCGCGATATGTATTCCACACAGAACCTTTATTTTTTTATTCATGATGAATTGCCAATTCAAACTGAGAATAAATCACTTGACAGCTGTAAAATCGGTCGCCGTATTGAACAGTATTGCACACTTAAATTTCTTTACCTCTAAAATAAAAATACTCTCCCTTACTTTTACAAACAGATCATTTTAACGAACAATGTGTCTATCCTGTTCGCAGGACAAGTTGACCACTCTTTCAGATAGAAGATAATAAACGAAATTAATTGAGCGTGTAGCTCACAATGCCCATCTCACCTTTCACCAATCGATACACAGATTACTTGAGCTAGTACGGTGTTCTCGGTAGCTACCGTTGTATCAATTAGAACAAAGTATAAAGTACTCTGCATAATTTGCAAATCAATTTATTGTCAATTGAATAAAATATAAAAATTGAATAACTTTTTTTTTTATTAATTTTACTTTCTAATCAATGTTCACAAGCAAAATTCCCGTCATCCATGGAAATACTCCCCTAACTAAACTCAAAAGAACAGTTAATAGTTGCTGGTACCTTCAATTGTTTTGGCTTTTATGACAACTTGTCACATTTGACACATAATGATTGAGACACCTAGATATTAGCATGAGTTGTCACTGAACTTTATAACATTACTAATTACAACAAAAATCTTTAAAAACCTGCGGCACTTAACTCCATGTATAATTTTTTTGATAAAAATCATCCACTACGTTATTTATCTGGCGATGACGAGAGACAAGTAAACTTAGGACCACCCTAAGAAATGTTATAAATCCAGTGTTTGTTAGCAAACAAGATAATATACAAGATACTATTACAATTATTTCAATGATTCTTGAGTTATATTCAATATGTCAAGTACTTTTTTTTTTAGATTTATTTATTTAAATTTGTTTACTATTTCAATAACTTCTCAAAATAATTCGGTAAAAATGGAAACTAACTAATAAATGTCAATTAATAATAAATAAATATATTTTAGCGTTGGAAACATTATGACGCCTTTGATAGAACTGCTGGGCTTACGTCATATTGCAATAAAGAAGTCCTTAGTTGTGAATTGTCTGCAGGATTCCTTTGCCTAAGAACCAACCATCGAATTTGCAACCTAATTTGCACTATAAATACGCGGTGTGGCATCACTTGCATATCAATGTGTAAAAGCAAGAGGAAAAACAACCCTCCCACCGACTTAACAAGCTTAAAAATGTCCGACATAAAAAAGATTTTTACAAATAGGACTATAAGTTTAAGCTGGATGCCAATAAGACACGATAATGTGATTGTGCTCTATAAAGTTCATTTGGAAGGAAAATTTTGTAAAAATGTAGTGATACATGTTAAATGCACAACTTATGAAAACTGTCTAGAGCATATCCTTAGAAAGTCAAAAAGTTACATAATCATAGCCGATTCCATCCATATCTTAAGAGCGGTGTGCACTTTTCAGTCTATTTTTTTTCTAAAAACTGAAGTGGTGAACCTGTTAATTAAAACGTTAATAAGAGAAGTCTTTATAAAAAATAGATTTATTCAAAAAAATCTTACCCCTTTAAACAAAATCTGTCAAGCTGACTGTTTAAGTAAAACCTTTTGGAAAAAGTCAAAACTAGTTGTATGTCAAGGCGCACAAATAAACAGAAAAGTTTTTCTTTATCTAAAGAATTACAATGGGCCCCACAATTCTCAAAATATAGTCTTAAAAAATATTAAGAATATGATTTCAGATAAAAAATATGGACTATATTCAGCTGACATACTTTTTATTTCTGATATCATACAAACGATACTTAAAAGCATTTCATCCAATTTAGCTTTTCAGGAAACAAAAAAAAACGTTGTTAAATGGAGAATGTATTTTACTGCAATTTTAAAGATTTACCGCTCAATAATAAACGTTGACTTGGCCGTTACGAAATTATCAACTGAACTTAACGCAACGCACTACCTATTGAAATCATTGGACTGGTCTATAGACACTCTATCAACTAAATTGTTATCGAAACAAGAAAGTATCGGCAATGAAGATACAGCACCTGAACTTGAAAGTGAGAATATAGACTATGATGATATAGGAGTATCTGTACATATTTCAAAATATATTTTGTACTTCATAATTAATCCTAATATTGCTAATGTTTCTGGAATAACATTGATTAAAAATAATAAAACAACAGAAAAACGCCAAGAATTAAAAGGTTCATTTATAAATGACCATTACCGATTTCTTCTATCAAATCATGACATTATAGACTTCATTAAAGAACCCAACCTTCTAGTTGGAGTATATCTACCGATACAACTTCTAAGCATATTATCAACCAATAAAAGTGTCCCAATTGTTGTCATTAAGCTTTACTCAAACTACAAACTGTCCGAAAACTCGTTTGGAAAAAGGAAGATTTTAAGTCCTATAATATCAGTAACATTACCTGGATACAGCTCAATTCTCCCAGTATCTTTTCCACTTATCTTTAAATATACAATTAATGATGAACCAAATATATTAGGTGGTTGTCAATCCTGGAGCAATATGAATTTGGAAACTGAAAATATAATAACGGTGAACCACTTTGAAAATAGATATGAAGGTATTGTGCTCTGTCATACAAGGCATCTGGCGGCATCTGCCTATTTTGCAGAGAAAAACATTTCCTTCAGAAGCAATTTTAAAGTTAATAAGAACAAAATTCATGATAATGTTGCGGACATTAAATTCATGTTTTTCTACATACTTTCGTTTATGGTAGTAAGTTCCTTTTTTTTAATATGTCGTCATTTGAAACAAATACTGTTTCCTATGGCTTCCAACTAGTTTATATCAAAAATGAAGAAAGATATAAAGATTACCCATCATTTTTTAAAAGGAAATGTTTAATATATTTTATGTAATTTATTTACATTTTTAAAATAAAAAAAGAAAAATCTACATTTTACTGTGTATTAACCATTTACTCGAATGGTAACACGTAAGAAAGTATGTTTTGAAAGGTTTGGTATTGCTAAGTTTACTGCTTGTCCCAGTGTGCTGGAAGCTGGGAGCGATCAGCTGATCGTGGTGCGTGGGATCGCGAGAACCAAAGCGGGAAGAGGGCAAAGGCAGTCGTCTTCGGCAAGCGAGAGAACACGCACGTCGCATCTAACGCGGGACGCCATTTACATATGTGCTATATATATTAATAAACGTAAATTTTGTGAATTTATCTGTTAGTGTTTTGCATTGCCTGGGATCCCCTCTTACAATGACCCTTTGTTAGTCAAATACAAGGGGACACAATTGTTCATGGTGGCCCATGAGGGGAACTTGCAATCGCAAAAATAATCGAAAATTCATAATTCTGTGTAAATGAGCGCTGTTAGATCGCAACTGCGCTAAGTTTGCAAGTCGGCTCTGCATACCGCGAAAAGTGAAGAAGAAAGAGAACGGCGATACATAGTCGCAGCTACGGCATAACGGAATCACAGCTGCAGCTAGACTACAGGCCGGCGGCCCTGCGAATCACGGAAGAGGAGAACTGCGATACATAGGCGCAAGACGACAGTTTTTTTAAACTTTGGAGACGGTCGTTGATCTTCGCTTCGTCGTGGGGTGGATTCTGGTATACATAACTGAGTAAGTAGACAAGTTGTGTGCGAATTAAAATTTACTGAGTTTTTTCTATTAAATTATTATTTGGGGTGGTGAGTTGCGCGCGAAGTTCGGTTTTACAACATTGGTCAACATGAAGGCGGGATCGGATACTCCTACTTTGGAGCACCTGGTTAACTTGCAGGCGAATCGATTTCAGTCCGTGAAATCTCTGTTGCAAAATTTTAAAAAGGATTCTCAATCGAGGAAAACGAGGATTTACCTGAAGAAACGGCTGGAACAAGTTGAAGACTTACGAAGCGCATTTAGGGAGATGGATGCAGTTACCGTGAATCTGGAAGGATTTTCTGTGTTGGCCTATGCCACGAAGGATTTCCAGTCGGAGTTCGAGGAGCGGTACATGGATGCCTATTGCGCTTTCGAGGAGGAGTTGGACAAACTTGGACCAGAGGCTTGTGCGCCTCAGTCGCCAGTGTTTGGGGCCGCCGATGCGGAAGTGCGGCTGAACATGCCCCAGATGTCAGTTTCGAAGTTCTCCGGCGCGTGTGTCGATTGGCCAGGCTATTTTGATGCCTTCACGAGCCTAATCCACAACAACGCAAGTCTGAGTAGTGTGCAGAAGCTGCACTTTCTCAAGGAGTCGCAACCGAGAGACCGCGATAATGAAATCATTCAGATGCAGCTCACGGAAGGGAACTATTTGGTGGCTTGGGGATTGATGATCAAGAGGTACAACAATCCTCGCCTCGTTTTCGCACACCAATTGAATGTTATCTACGCATTGCCAAGGCTACCCTAGGCCCCGTATCTCAACAGCGCAGCCAGCCAACGACAGACCAGAACCCCGGCACATCTTACGGATGCTATTCAGCAACGTCATCGGATTGGTCGTCGAGAAATGTCCTTCTCGCCACTGCTCGTATCACCGTGCGGAACACGGTCAATGGACAGCGCGCTGTCATAAACGCCCTGGTCGACCAAGGATCGGAAGCAACCATTGTCTCGGAGCACGTGGTACAGTCCTTGGATCTGAAGCGATCTGGCACCCGAACATCTATTTTTGGGATGGGTCTTGGGGGCGGTCGGCGGTGCAAGAATACTGTTAATTTAGAAATCCGTAGTAATGTTAACCCTGACTTTTCAGTAGACGTTGATTCCGCGTATGTCCTCCATTCGGTTACTTCCTGCCTTCCGTGTCGCAGCTTCATGCCTCAGCGTTGGGACCATATACGAGGGCTCCCGCTGGCGGATCCGAACTTCTCACGATCGAAGCGAGTCGACCTCATCTTAGGTGTGGACCTGTTGGGGCAAATCATGTTGCCGGACACCAGAATCGGGCTGCCAGGCGAGCCTATAGCTCAGAACACTCACCTTGGGTGGATGCTAACTGGTTTGGCGGACGGAGTGAGGGAAGCGACCAAGGTCACTGTCATCGGGAGATCTTGGACACCGAGACATTGCTCAAGCCTTTCTGCGAGGTGGAGGCCGCTCAGGACCGTTCTTTAACATCTGAGGGGGACCTCTGGTGCGAAGCCTTTTTTCAGAAGACACATATTCGTCGATCGGATGGCCAGTACGTAGTACGGTTGCCCAACAAAACTTATATCGATCCAACTATGGTTCTGGGAAAATCACATCAGATGGCGCTGAATAGGTTCTTGCAGTTGGAACGGCGTCTGTCGAGCAGACCGGAGCGGTGGACCAAAATTTCGAAGAGATCGAGGAGTACTTTCTTTGCCCTCAAGCAAAGAGCGCCGGCGGTGGGCAGTTCGCTGATGCGTAGTTCTACGGATAGGCATGTACCTTCCTGCGTGCTGCCGCATCATGCGGTCTTTAAAAAGGAGCAGCAGTCGCTTTAACAAAGAATCGTGTTTGACGCCTCCGCAAGGACCAGCAAATGAAGATCTTTAAACGACGTGTTTTGGACTTGGCCTGCCCTTCAGAACGACTTGTCGCACGTCATACTAAATTGGCGGAAATATCGTTTCGGTTTTGCAGCGGATATCCAGAAGATGTATAGTTGTATAGATGTTCATCCGGAAGACGCCCAATACCAGCGGAGTTTATGGCGGGCGGGCGGAAATATATGTGGATGACATTGGAGGAGGCAAGGGATTTGCGGACAGAAGTATCGGGTGCGATAAAATCCGAGTGCTTTGAGGTGCGGAAATGGTCTAGCAACGAGTCCAGTTTCTTGCTCTCGATTCCTGCGGAGTATCAGTGCAGCCGGACTCTTTTAAACTGGGACACTACGGATCCTGTCAAGGCGTTAGGGATGTATTGGCTCCCGAATAAGGACTGCTTTAAATTTCAGGTCAATTTTGAGATTCCAGCTAGGTTTACCAAACGGATGATTTTATCGAGCATAGCTAGACTGTTCCATCCACTGGGTCTCATCGCACCAGTCATCATCGTGGGAAAGCTGATCTTGAAGGAGGTAACCATGGCAAAAAAAGTGCATGCAGATGGCACTCAGTCGGCGCTGGAGTGGGACGACGAGGTTCCTGACGCTCTCGTAGAACGGTGGCGAGCGTTTCGGGACGGGTTGCTGAGGATCGACCGTTTTGCGACGGTTCAGCGACATCTTATGCGGCCACGGTCTACTTAAGGCTCGAGTACGTTGACGGAGCATGCTATAGCTTACTGCTGGCCTCGAAGTCAAGGGTGACTCCCAAAAGGCCCTTGACTATACCTAGAACGGAGTTGCACAGTTAAAGTCAAGGTGGTAAAATGGCTTACTTCGGGTCGCGTTCATTCTGGATCATTCTTCGGCTGAAAATCCAGCAGACTTTGAGAAAAGGGGACTTTCTCCGGGTGAATAGAAGGGCTTTGGCCAGTGGTGGCGAGGCCATAAGTGGCTTACACGCAGTCCGAGTGACTGGCCTTCGAAGGAGTTCGAGCCAGGCAAAGGGGGCAAAGGTATGAGTTCACCACGCAGTCCCGTTCTCGTCGTTCGTTGGCAGATTTTTTACTTTCAGCCGGGCTGTCACGGCCTATGCGTTGCGGTTCAGTCACAATGCTGTCGGCAAGGGGGAGAGGCATAAGGCCCCTAACCATTGAAGAGCTCGACTTTGCTTAAGGGGCTATAGTGCGCATCGTGCAGCGGGAATCGTTTCCAATGGATTTGGCTGCAGTAAGAGAGAGTAAACCGCTACCTGCGCGAAGTAAGCTTTTAAGCTTGTCGCCGATCTTATTGGAAGGCATCCTGCGAGTGAGAGGGCGACTACGCCATTCTAACTTGCCATATGAGCGCCGGCATCCGATAATACTCCCAAGTTCCCATCATTTCACTGAGCTGGTAATTCGGCACTGGCATGTTTTGACTCTGCACGGAGGTGCGCAGCTGACTTTAGCGCATGCACGCCATCAGTTCTGGGTAATGACAGGAAGGTAGGTAGTTCGAAGAGTTGTGCGGAAATGTGTCCAGTATTTCCGTGCACAGCCCTTCGCTTCGGCTCAGCTCTTGAGAGACTTTCCGCTTCATCGAGTGAACCCCCCTAGTCGTCCATTCATTGCAACGGGAGTTGACTACGCAGGCGCTATAGAGCAGAAAGCAGCGCAAGGCAGGTAGGCAGGCACGGTTGCGAGGCACCAGCTTCTAAAAGGGGTACATCGCCGTTTTCATTTGCCTTTTTTTCGCGACTCCCGGTGCTTGACGTGCTCTAAGAATAGAGGAATATAGTTTCTAGTCATCCTAAGGGGTACATGGATATTCAAGCGGCCTAGAACGGCCTGGCTATCAATTTCACCATTTAGAAGATTATGGATAAAGACGACACCAAGCATAGTCCTACGATTAGCGAGGGATGGCAAATTGATTAGTAAGAGTCTACTTTTATAAGAGGGAAGGTGTATGCTTGCATCCCAGTTGTGACCGCGGAGAGCAAATATTAAAAAATTCTTTTAGATGGATTCAATAAGGCACTGGTCAACCCCATACTGGGGGTCCCAGATACATGATCCATATTCCAGAATCGGACGAACTAAAGAAATAAAAAGTGTTTTGGTAACATAGGGGTCGTTAAATTCCTTCGACCACATTTTAAAGAAACCAAGCACTCCTCTAGCTTTATTAACCTTAGAGGAAATTTCGTCGGAAAACTTAAGTTTTGCATCGAGTAAGATGCCAAGATCTTCAACTCATCAACTCGTCATTAGGATTTAACAAGTTTGCAGAGCACGATTTTTCACAATTATTAAGGTCTGATTGCAGTTTCATCGGTATATTGCAGGCGGAGTTTGACATCATCTGCATACATAAGTACTAGGGAGTTATTAACAAC